TAACCACCTCACTTGGACTTGGACTCACGGTTTTGAACATGTGGGAAATGTCCTCCTTGCCCTTCATTAATCAAAACGTGCGTTTTGACATTTTGTCCTCCAAAAATGCACCGGGCGCAATTATGCAAAAACAGAATTCTGTTATTTTCTTCCAACTTTGACTGCATTTATCTCATATTTATCCTAAAATACCATAGTTTGAATTTTATGCAGAAATAATCTCTGCATGTTCTACTTTTAACGATATGTGGTCCTTTTTGGCAAATAATGATTTGGAATGGGTAAAAAACGTGGTCAAACAGGGCTACCGACACATGTTTCTGCAGTAAAAAGTCAACCCTAACATGCCACCTGCTCCATTTGAATAGCTTTGAGGATTATCAGCAAAACGACTTCAGTTGTAGTTGTATATTCTTCGTCGACGAAAGACGAAGCTACAATTTGTTGTTTTTTTCGAACTCCAAGATATTGCATTAAGACCCAAACAAAACACATTTCTTGAAGTACTCTTTCAATGATAAAGGGAACCTGGCCCAATCATTCTCAGTGTAGCCAACGAGCTTACATTCTTTCACCCTTACATCCTTCAGCCCGTGCTTCTTGGTACCCTACAAATATCTCAAAACTCTTTTTGCAGCACCATAATGATATTTAATTGGATCATTCATGTATCTCAAAATGATGCTGACATAATGCATAATATCTGGCCTAGTATTAGTAAGATAAATCAATGAACCAACAAGACTTCAACAAGTCTTCGAATCTGCTTTACTAGATTTATCTTCACCACATAACTTATCATTTAATGTCACAGGAGTTGCAATTAGGCTTGTAGTTGATCATGTGAATTTTTTTGAGTAACTGATCGATATATATATTTTTCTTAAGAAAGAAAAATATCACCTACTGCTTTACTTGATTTTCAAGAAAATATTTCACTAGACCCAAAGAGTCTGTAGACCCTAAATTTGTTCGGTATTCCATTTCATCATTTTTTAAATTTTATTTGTAGTAATTTTCTTGTAGAATTTTTTTTTATATTTTATGGTAAATATTTTCCATTGGGTGTGTTTTGTCCAAAGAAAAAAAAAGTATTCGATTTAAATATTGAATTCCTTATTTTTTTTTCAAAATCAAATATTTTTAAATAAAATCAAAAAGATTTTTTTTTGAATAAATGTTCTAAAGAAAATTCAATAAAAATAATAAAATCTTATTCATCTCAAAAAGTGATTTGACAAATTTGGTAAAACAATCAAATATTTTAATCAATAATATATCTTATTTTCATTCCTTTTAAGATTGAGTAATTAATAATTTTTCTTTTTCTTGTTCTCTATTATTTTGTTTAATTGTTTGATATTTTCTTTAAAAAATGGTTTTGAATTCACTGTAAATAGGTGGTAGTAGTTTAGGTATCACGAAGGAACACATCACGAAAAACTACAATTTCTCTCCCAATTTTGTTTACTTGTTGTCTCCAGCTCTCACGGTCTCTCTCTCTTTTTCTTCTTTAAATATTTTTTTCCTTCTTTTTTTTCTTTCCTCCTCGTTACTCTCTTTGTTCTTAGTTTTTTCCTTCACAAAAAATACAACTACATTTTCTCTCCATCGTTTTCTTTTTTCGTGCGATCTCTCTTCGAGGCTCTCTCATTCTTTCATTTTGTTTTGTTCTTTCTTCTTTCAACATATATTTTTTTTTCGTTTTCTTTTCTCTCTATTGCTCTCTTCTTCTTTGTTTATTTTTATTTTTATTTTTCTTATTTAAAAGTTTTGTTCTCTTATGTTACACAAAGGACAAACGAGAAAGCAACGGGAAGAGAATCAAAGAGGCTACCAGACGAACCGAACCGAGCTGAGCACGGCTTGGTCTCGATCCGGGCTCGACCCATGGCCAAGCCCGACACTCGCCCTTTTAAATGTGCCCTAATTCATTGTGCCCTACAACAATGAATTAGGGCACATTTAAAAGGATCTGGAACCTTCCGTGCGACTATAAGTAGGCCATATAGCCTAACCTTAAGGTAAGTCAAATTCTACACTTGAGTTCCATTGCTCAACTACTCTCCTTGCTAACTTAGGCATCGGAGCCCGTGTGACAAAAGTCACATCGGTCAAGCTGTATTCGATTTTGTTGGTCTTCGACTCCCAGATAATCGAGTTTGGTAGGAGCCACGAAAGGAACCGGGTGAGCATATTCCACGCATCAACAATTGGCCCGTCTGTGGGAAACAAAACAAGTCGTACGGTCGAACAGCATGACGCCGAAAATAAGTCCACGATGCTCTGACGATGACTACCATGCAAGGAGGAAGTTAAATTTGGATGACCCCCGATAGGAGGATCCGAGGGCGAGACGGGACTGAGTTGACAAAACCCGGAGTGCTAAGAACGGTCGCCCCAGGTACCTACAACAACAGCCCCTGAACAACTCTAAAGTCAATTTGCTGCCCTGGAAAAAAAGGTAGAGGACATGTTTCAATGCATGACTGAGCTACTTCAACAACTAGAACAATGAGAGGCCAGCGAGGTACCCTTCGTCAGAGACCCCCGAAAGGGAAAGGCCCAGTAGAGAGTGAGACTGAAGAATCAACGAACAGTGTAGGGAGCAAGTTGAGGCTAGGGGGAATATCAAACAGTGAACTCAGATTTTCAACTCCTGAAGCCAGTAAAAAGGCAAAAAGCAATAGAAATACCCTGTACCAGATGGGAGCAAGAGCAACCAAGATAAACAAAACGCGGAGCCCATAGGTCTCGACAAAGACAAGTTGGTAGATCGGCCCGAGTTGTCTAAAAAGCAACAAAGTCAAAAGGAGAAGGGTTCGATCTCGAAGAGCTACTGGATCAAGCCAACTCGCCATTTACAGAAGAAATCAAGGGGGAGAAGGTCCCTCCAAAATTCAAGCTACTAACAGTGAAACAGTTCGACTGGTCTGCCGACCTAGTGGACCAACTTAACACCTACCGAGAATGGATGGATATCACGAGGTGGTGGAGGCGACCATGTGTCTGGTGTTCTCGACAACTTTGAGTGGGTCGGCCAGGGTATGGTTTCGATAGCTGAAGGGAGGTTCGATCTCGAGCTTCAAGAACCTGGCCAGGGCATTTGTGACCTAGTTCGTGGGAGGACGAAGCCGAAGCCGACTCGTGGCTTATCTTCTGACTATCAAACAGAGGGCAACAAAGAGCCTTCACGACTATATGGCTCGATTCAATGAGGAGAAATTACAGGTTGAGGGTGTCACGGATGCAGTATCTCTACTAGCTTTCATGTCCGGCATCAAGGACGAACACCTTTCATTCTTCTTTGGGAAAAAGACGCCAAACGTCTTCTCGGAGGCACTCAGCCGAGCTCAGATGTACATGAGCGCCAGAGAGTTCTTCCACTCAAAGAAATAGTCAGAGGGAAAATGGTTCGACCAGAAGAGAGAGAGATTTGGGGATAAGCCACAGTCATCGAGATGAGAGAAAAGATATCGGACCAGCCAGAAGGATCCACCCTGGAAGTTTGAGAAGTATACCCCAACTATGGTCCCACTCGAACAGGTATTCGTGGAGATCAAAGACCAAAGGTTGCTCAAATGGCCAGAAAGGATGAAAGCACCTCCAAGTAAAAGAGGCAAAGGGCGATATTGCCCTTTCCATCTAGACCACAGTCATGCTACTCAGGATTGCTTCGATCTCAAAGAAGAAGTGGAAGGGCTCATCCAGAGAGGATATCTCAAAGAGTATGTGAAGGATCCTAAAGCGACTCAAAACAGTGAGAACAACTGTAAATCACCCGCTTGAGGAATCCGAAAAATAATGGAAGGTCCGGTAGAGAGAAAATCTTGCAGAAAGAGAAAGGCAAGCGTACAAGATCTACCATGCATTTGTTGAAGAACAACCGACAAAAATCGAGTTCTTAGAGGATGAGGTGACTCACATCTTCCACCCACATAACGATGCACTAGTCATCAATCTGAAAATAGCCAATGCAAAGGTACACTGGATCTTGGTAGATGGGGGTAGCTCGCCAGATATCATCTCCTTGACAGCTTACAAAACCATGGATCTAGGAGAAAGAGGGCTTAAAAGTAGCCCGGCACCACTAGTAGGGTTTGGAGGAGAATGGGTCATTCCTGAAGGGAGAATAGAATTGCCGGTGACATTCGGAAGCGGGCCAAAAAGCATCACTAAAATGGTAGACTTTTTGGTCGTCGACTATGCATCTTCCTGTAATGCGATATTAGGAAGACCAACAATGCACATGCTCAAAGCAATACCATCCAGATACCACCAGTCTATTAAATTCCCAACACCTGGTGGAATAGGTGAGATCAAAGGAGAGCAACGGGTATCACGTGAGTGCTACTATGCTTCTATGAAGGGCAACGACAAGGCTTCTACTGCGGGTGACCATTGATTTCTTCACTCAACCAACAAGTATAAGATAGGTTTAAGTTTCTTTGTTTCACTATCATTTTATTTTTCAAGATTATTGGTTTTTACGTTATCAATAAAAGTGTCCATTGTCTACATACTTGAGTGCTCCCTATCAACTTTATTGTGTACTCCTCAAGTAGGGCGCATAGTAGTACATCAATCTACATCAATCGACAAGAATTGGAAAGAACAATTCAAGAAGTGGGTCACTTGACCTAGCACGGTTAAAACGCAAGATGGAGAAAAATCAAAAGTCAAACGACAGCAACTAAAGGTACAAAACCATTGGCCACGGCCAAGAGGTTAGAAACCTATGAGAAGTAAAGGCAATGAAAATCAGCTCCATCTGAGTTAGAGCCGTAAGGCAATAATTTCTGGTAATAGAGAATTTATTGATAATTCCAAAGATAGCTACAAATAAAGGCAAGGCAACAACATAACAACAGCTAGTTCATAAAAGCGATCAACGCAGATAAAATGGCTCTCCACCCTCCTACTCATCGTCATCATCATCCATGTCGTCGGGGGCATCACGCTCGACTCTAAAGCGCTCTTGGAGAAAGGAGTAGTCAATGATTGGATGCTCAGTAGAAACTTGGCAAAGAGACTAGGAGATGCCACACTCCATGGCAGCATTCTGTAAATCAACATACTTCTACATTTTCCTGAATTCCCTGACCAAGAATTCATAGTTGGAGAGCTGAGTGTTGGCCTCATCAAGCCTCATTTCTAGGTTGGCAAGCTCCTCATCTCGGAATTTTCTCTTCTCGGTTTCCAACTCACGCTGAGCGCCCTCCAGGAGGCTATTGGACTGATCCAAGGAGAAGAGAGCCTGATCCAACTCCTCCCGAGAGGCATAATTACAGCAAAGGTGGTTGATCTCATCGGCAACTCGACCTGAGAACACCACCAGACGATTAAAAACTTGCCTAAGTCAGAAACCAAACGCTACGGCAGGTACTTAAAATTACAAATGTTCACCTGGTGGAGATCGCTTAGGCATGCATTGATGCTGTGCTGAGGATTCGACAAGTCAAAATACGACCCACTCGACAATTCTCTGAACCCTCACCAAAGGCTAAACGCCCTCTCCAGGTAGACTGCCCCATCGACATCAGCGTTGTACGGACTAGAGAAAGGGAAAATTGAAGCATGAGAGGAGCTCCCTGGGTGACCACGAAAGGTAGAGGGGGTTGGCGTCCCTTGAATCCGAGCACAACGTCGGGGTGCTGCGAAGGGCATTGAGGCCCAGCCTGTCGAGATGGGGGGTCTTCCTCTGTCAAATTGGTCATCTCGATGTCTGAGGCTCGGTTGGAGTATGCCCCTGAGTTTTGAGCATTCCAGCGGCGCTCTTTTTCAAATAGAGAGGCACTCCGTCTCGACATTTCTACAAAAAGGGATAAAGGTGAAAATCGACTGTCACGCACAATTTAGAATAGTTCTTAGTGGTTACCTGGGAGTGATGAGGGGGAGCCAAGCCAAAGTCTACTAGGTTCTGTTTCTTAACTAGATTTGGACCCCAATGTTTGGCATCTGACAACTGGAGGACGGTGTGGTAGAAGTCAAACCTTCGGCAGTGAGCTGACAATTTCGAGGAACTGTCAACAAAGGAAGAAAAATATCAGAATAAAATCTACGAAAAGTCCCGATAGAGCTCGGAAATCTACTTACCTAACTCCCTACACTCAGTCGGGATGGGAAAATACAATCCTCTCTCGTCACGATGTAGCCAGTCACCACCGACAAGAAAGCACTCGTCCTTCCAATGATTCACTGAGGAAGGACCTATAACAAGAACCTGATTCCGAGAGCTAACGTAAAAATGAAAATTATCCTTACAGCCATGTTTGAGGAAATATAGCGACATAAAATTGGCCGCGGTTAGAGGTTGTTCACCACAGAGGTAGAACCACAAAATGACAAAATAAAGCAACTAATCAGGGTAGACCACCCGTTGGGAACAATTTGAGGAGCTACTTGGTTGAAAGCTAAAAAATTTTGAAGAAATAGAGGCAATGGTAAACGGGCACCGAATTGGAACATGGCTACGTAAAATACAACATCTCCAGGGAAAGACGCGTCAATACTTTCTCCCAGATCCGAAAGATGAAGGCTAATCGAATCAGGAATGCGGTATTTCGAACGCAGACGACATAGGTCCCTCGYTATAAGAGTGGAATTATCTACCCAAGAGGGACGGTAGGGTCGAGACCCAGAAGAAGGGTTTGATGATGACCCGTCTTCAGAGGAGGTCCACTCGAAGTTAAGATCAGATTCCATGGTGGTAAGGAAACACAACAAAAGCAAAGTAAAGAGAAATGTACCTTAGTTGAAGGGATGATTGACATTAGAAGAGTTGAATAAGGTTTAAATAGCCCTCAACATAGAAGCATAGCTCTCGATCTGATGGTCTTTGGCCATCGGTCCGAAGCCTGCTCTGCTTGGTAAGCGGGAACCCGTGATCTTCTCGGTCACGGGTCTTACAGTGAGGGGGAAATTCAACCCATGACCTTCTCGGGTCTCACGATGATGGGATAACTTGTCTAGCCTGAATTGAAAGACTTCGACAATAAGATTGAGGCTTGCTAGGCTCAACATCGGAAAAGCCCGTGACTTCCCCAGTCACGAGACTGACATAGCATGGCAAGTCACGATAACTATAGGGGCACAACAGCAGAGAAGGTCCTTCCTTTATGACATCTAACAAAGTTGTGAAAGGTTAAGTACGATATGACTACCCTTGATAAAACTCATTGTTTGTGCACCCCAGCATTCCTATCAACATACTCCCAAAGAGATGGGGACAAATCCATCGCCTCTAGAGTAGGGGGGAATTGTTATACAAAGGAAAAATGACAAAGCAACAGGAAGAGAATCAAAGAGACTACCACGTCTCGGCTCATTGTTTGAGCCGAGCACGTCTCGGTCCCGACCTGGGCTCAGCTTATGGCCAAGCCCTGCACTCGCCCTCTTCTGATCTCACGCACCTTAGGCCTGCAGCAATGAATTAGAGCACATTTAGAAGGATCTGGAACCTTCCGTGCGACTGTAAGTAGGCCATGTAGCCTAACCCTAAGGTATGTCAAATTCTACACTTGAGTTCCATTGCTCAACTACTCTCCTTGCTAACTTAGGCATTAGAGCCCGTGTGACAAAAGTCACACAGGTTTAGCTGTGTTTGGCTTTGTAGGTCTTCGACTCCCAGATAATTGAGTTTGGTGTGAGCCGTGGAAGGAATCGAGAGAGCATATTGAACGCATCAACATCGTATATTTCTCTTCGTTCTCTCCTTCAAATATCTTTCTTAATCATTTTTTTCTCTTCAACCGACCATATATAATTTCCTTCATCACCTTCTTTCTTTTTCTTCACTTTATTTTATTTTATTTTTCTTTTTTTTTCTCCTCCTTAATTTCTTTCCCCAAATTTTTGGTTATAGGGTTATTTTCACTACAATTTTCTACTTCAACATTTGACAGGCACCACAAGTGAATAGGAGGTAAAAATCAGACACTCATCACAATTCTTTTGGGAAATACGCAACTAAGCCCGTAGAGGATTACAATCGTCACCCCACCAATTCGAGAGGGTGGGTATCTGACACGACCCGCCCTAAACACCTACTAACTATAGGACAAGTCGTGCCGACCACAGACCCCCAACCATCTACCAAGTCTATAGTCAACTTCTTTTTAAATTTCTAAAACCAATTTAGATTATTCTTCAACATATAAAACATAAAGTGTAACATAATTCACTTCAAAAATAACTATTCGGACACAACTTCTAAACATGTTGTACAACCACAAAAGGTACAACTATTCCAGTATAAGTCATTCTAGATGTACATACAAAATGATATGCAAATTCTGAGACGGTGAGTGGCAGAAACTGATCGGCTATCTCTATGAAACTCAGGTGCAACCTGGTGGAGAAAAACAATGATAAACAATGAGCTTGGAAGCTCAGTGAGTGGTATTTTATTAAGAAAATAATTTCGTAAAACTTATTCCATAAAAACAACTGAAATTTCAATTCTTAAGACGAGCTTCATAAAGCTGAAATAATAAACATTCTCGTTAAAACTTCAAATAACTTGATCAACTAAAATTCAGTAATTTTCTGAGCATAACTTATAACAACATATACTTTCTAAAAACACTTTCTAAATACGTATCAAATATCTTCTTTCAAATCTAAAACAGGTTAAGAAAACTCACCACCACATATGTACCCACATTCTATTCTGGTCTACTGGCATAGAATAATCTCAATACGTATAGCAAAATAATTCTATTTCTGGTCTACTGGCATAGAGTAATCTCAATATACACAGCATAATATTTCTCTCAACGCGCGAAGTAAAATGGTCCCAAAGACCTTCTATTTCTGGGTATACTATAGAAATACATTCACATAGCTACGAGTAATCACTTAGATACAACAAAATGGTGGTTTGAAAACTTATTTCTGCATAAAATTCTCAATCTTATAAACAGTTCTAAAATTCTTCTTTTTCTTCTTTCTAAGAACATTTTTTTCTCAAATCACTTCTAAACATATTTCTTTCTAATCATATTCAATAAACACAACTGTTTCTCATTAAATCATAAAACATTTCTATGTTCTCAGAAGCATTCATAAGTTCTCAGCAAACTCAATTTCTCAACAGAAATAATCAAACATACGTAATAAATACTTTCTTAAAGTTCTATAATAGATATCTTAAAATATTTAGTTAAATAACCACTCACAAATCCTATGAACGAGGTGAATTGGGTTGGTACGCTGCTACAATTTCCGATCGTCCTGAAATAATAATCAATGAAATTTCAATTCACACTCAATTTCCAATCTAAACTTTACAATTCTTCAAATTAAACCATAAATTTAATCAACAACCTCATTCTCTCTCTACCATCCAATTACACCTTTTCCTCTCTCATCTTCCTTACAAGTGGGACCCACCTCCCACAATCA